TGTAAATGATGAAAAATGAAAAAATAACAAAAATGAAGGGAAAAGTGAGTGAGACAAGGATAATAAAAAAATGATGAAAATGAAAAATCCTACCCCACATGATATCTACCCAACATGCTTATTATTCTTACCTGGACATGATCTCTATTCCGTAAGTTGATTTTGAACAAGTCCTAACCGCATAAATTTCTAGTTCACATGCTTTGAACAGAAAATAAAGTAGGAAATAATCAAAACAGCCTAGGGTTTGAAATGAGGTTTTGGGGTGGGCTCTAATTCCTTGTAATCTCTCGGTTTAGTTCTAAAAAAGGTACTTGAGATCTTCTTGATGGTGCCCCCTTGGGCTTGCCAGACCCTTAGTCCTAAGCCCATTACAAGCTTGTGTGGACTAAGTTAAACTCGAGAGGAAACATTCCCTTATGCCCATACGGAGAATAAATTCACACGAAAGCATAAGATATATGAATCCCAAAGATTACTTGCTAGACCCATACGGAGAATAAATTCTCACGAGAGCGTCGCTTTCACCTCCATTTAAGACGGGTTTGGAGCTCGGGTATAAAGCTAGAGATAGAAACTTTTAAATCTTAAATCATTGAAAAAAATGTCAGTACAACTATTTATTTGAAAAATAATCAAAGGTAAATAATTGGAATCGAATAAATAAATTTAAATTTACTATTTTCGTATAAAAAGACAACCAAAAATTAATTTTGGCCTAACTCACTTACTTGTCCCCAGTGGAGTCGCCAAGCTGTCGCGACCGTCTTTCGGTTGAATCCAGAATTGGGCTTCGACTTGAAATGAGTGGGTTGGAGTCGCCACCGACCGTTTTAAAGCGAATTTAGGTGGGTTGGACACCATCTTACCTGATCTGCGTTTTACCATAAACGTGTCGGGTTCGGGAGTCGGTTACAGTCAAGGAAGGATTAGCACCTTTGAACCGCCCTTTCGATACCAATTAATTTGTTGGTTGTCTTTAATTGCGAAAATTAAAAATTAAAATTTAAATTTAAAGCATTCGATTCGAATTGTTTACCTTTGATCAGTTGGAATTTATCTACAAAATTAAAAATGTTAGAAAATAGATAAATAAATAAATAAAGACTAAGTAAATCAAAAGAAAAAAATAATAAAAAAAATAAAAATAAAGTAAAATGAAAAGAGAAAAAATATAAAAAAATTTAAAATAAACAAAATAAAAATAAATAAACAAAGAAAAATAAACCAAAGAAAAATAAAAGAAATAAAAAATAAAAGAAATAAAAAATAATAAAAATATTAAATAAACCAAAAAGTATATATATAAAATGAAATAAAATAAAAGGGGGAAAAAGAAATAAATAATATATATAAAAATATTAATAATTATAAAAAAAACATATATACAAAACCGGGAATAAAAGATCAAACATAAAACAAGAACCAATTTAAAATAAAATGAGGCTTTGGGATAAAATTAAAAGGCTTAAATTAGAATAACGGGGCATAATAATATCCTTACAAAGAACGAGGGACCAAACAAATAATTTTCCCTTTTACCCTAGAAAACACGCGGATCCATCCTTCGGGTCGGGTCGAAAACGGGTCGACTGAGCGGGTCGTATATAAGCCGAAAATCACCCTAAACAAGTTCATTTCCCTCTCTCTCTCAAAAATAAGGCCCTCACCCCTCTCCAAATTCTCTCAACTTCTCCCAGAACACGGTGGAAACCCGACCACCGCCCAGTAACCCTTTCGTAGCGTCGGCACCGCTCCGGCCACCGTCGTCGGTGGTCGAAAATAATAAACACCACACCAAAACAACCTCCTCATCGTCCTAAACAATAACTCGAAGCCTAAATTCTCAAAAACCCCACCGATCGGAGTAGATATGGGTTTAAAGTTTTGGTTTTACCCTTTTTTACGAGTGACCCTTGGTTTTCCGGTGACCGTCGGTTTGGTCTTGCGGTTGTGTTGCCTTTTTGTGTACTGTGGCTTACTGTTGTCTGTATTTGCTTGTGGTTTGTTTTTTGTTGCTTTGCTTCGTTATTTGACTATGGGTTTCGATGTTTGTCGTGTTGTTTGGCTTGTATGTAGGTTTGTAGTTTTTGGTACTTTGACGGTTGTTTCGTCTGTTGATGCGTAATGTTGGCACTATGTTCTCATGGGTTCTCTTGCGGGTTTTGTGTTGGTTTCGATTTGCTACCCTTGTGGCTTGTTGGCTATTCGTTCTTGGTTCCCCCATGGCAGTGCTCTCACCGGGGGCTTTTATATCCCCGGTGTGGTTGTTGTTGGCCCCGAAATGAGGGGTTATTCCAATTTCCCCGTGAATATGTGATCGGTCGTCCCGGTATGGGTCAGTCTCAGGATAACGGCCGACCGTTTCACTCATGAACCCTTTGACTCCCTGTGCGGCACCGTTGCCAATCTCATGTAAACCCTAACTCTTTGGATATTGGTTACGGGCTAGGTCAGACCCACTTCTTGGGCTGTTTGGACCCCATTTTGGACCTGAAACAAAAAATAAAAATAAGTAATAATAAAAAAATAAATAATAATAATAATAAATATAAAAAAAAGTATTTTTTTAAAACTATATAATATAAATTTTTTAAAATGTTTTTTTAAAACTATATATTATATATAAATTTTCAAAAAAATATTTTTTAAAAACTATATAATTTTCAAAAATATTTTTAAAAACTATATAATTTTCAAAAATGTTTTAAAAATTATATATTATATAATTTTTCAAAAATGTTTTTCAAAAACTATATATTATATAAGTTTTCAAAAAAAATCAAAATTATTATATAAGTTTTCAAAATAATTTTAAAAGCTATATATTATATATATTTTCTAAAATGTTTTAAAAACTATATATTATATAGTTTTCAAAAGTGTCTTAAAAACTATATATTATATACATTTTCACAATGTTTTTAAAAACTATATATTATATATGTATTTTCAAAAACCGTTTGCAAACTATAATATATATATATATATATATATATATATATATATATATATATATATATATATATATATATATATATATATATATGTATAAAATAAAATAAAATAAAATTATAGACGAAAATGAGTGTCTACAACTTGTACTTTTATTTTTTATTAATTAGGCCTTGATAAATGTTTTAAATTTGAACCCTTAGAAGAAATGACAATATTCCTTTATTTCAATTAGAAAATAAAAAAATAATCGCCTTAATAAAATTTAAGGGATTATTTTCTCATCGGTTGGAAGTAGTGAAATAATGTGTGTTCGAACTCTCATTAATAGGATTGAATATTTTTGCTTGGGAATAAAAGAATCATAAATCAAATTTATATTCGAATTTTTAATTTTAAAATATTAGGGACAATGTATAATAAAATAGGTATCGATTTTGGGCATTGTCGCTTGTGGAGTGCTAATTTTTTTCCCACGGGTAATCGACTCCCGAACCCAAATTTCTGGTTATGCAAATCAATTTTGTCTTTTAAAATATTTACATTAAAATATCTTTAAAAAGACTTTTTTTGGTATTCGACCTACTTAATCCAAAGGTCGATGACGACTCTTATCTTTTTATCACATTTTTCAAATTCCAACAAATACACGACTAATCACCAATTAAAAAAATCGTTATGACATGATACTACATTGTAATTATCTAAGACTATTAAAAAAGACTTATATAACAAATAAGTACCTAGGCTTATCTAACAAATAAGTACCTAGAGTATACTATCTTTTTCATTTAAATACCTAAAGTATTTTTGGTCAAAATAAGTGCCTAAACTTATCTTTTTGGTTAAAATAGGCATCTAAAGTATTTTTTTTGTTCAAAATAGGTACCTAGAGTATTCAAATTTTTTTAATCTAAGTACCTAAATTATTCTTTAAATAATACCACATGTCAACTTTTTTAGAACATAGATGAAAATGTTTGAATAGTTTAGGTACCTATTTTGACCAAAAAGATAACTTTAAGTACTTATTTTGACTAAAAAATACTTTATGTACTTAAATGAAAAAGAGGATATACTTTAACTACTTATTTGTGATATAAACCATTAAAAATGACCTAATGAATATTTGATAATGGAACAACGAGCTTTATTACTGGAAATTGTTGAAAGAGAAAAGGAAACGTACAACTATGGTTTGTCAAAAAAGCAAAGGCATAGCCAATATACATACATATCGCTTTGTTACGTTTACATCCTATACGGATTACGGAGATATCCTATACGTGGGGTCTAATTTCAGTAGTTTTTTTTAGGGTCTGCAAAGCATGAAGAGCAAAAACAAAAAAACTAATCATCATCATCGTATTTGTGGAGCTCTTGGTCCTCAATGATTGGTTTCAATGGTTCGGAACAGATCTCCGATGGAGTTAGCATCAACCAGGCCGGAGATTCAGTCGGAGTGTTCTCTCCAGCATCGATCATCGGACGCCCTTTGATCATATCCATGTCCCCTTCCTCACTCATCATTACCATATTGCATGGTAATTTTTTAGCAAAGTATGCCTTGTTCTTTCTCAAATATTGGTCACTGCATTTCGTATATTATATATGAGCATAATTACGACCTCCGAGAAGACAAGAACGTAACTAGAAAGAAACAAAACAGACGTTTTGTTGTGTATTAAAACTCACTTGTCAAAAACAACCCAAGATGCTCCGTGGCTAATGATCCTCTCAACAACAAGCAATGGTAAAGGATAACCCATTACAATTTCCTTTTGTAACGTAACCTGTTGAATAAAACGTTAAATGTAAACCGTTAAACTAAAACCAGAGTCGGTGGAGGATCCACCCTTATATAAGAGTGTCACATACCGACCATAAAATCTAAATTTTCTTTAAATATTTATTTATTTTATTAATTGTGTTCCTCTTAAAATTTTATTTATACCTACGTCTTGTAAAAATTTTATATTATTAATATATGTGTGTCAAATTCCAAAAATATTTTTGAATTTATGACGTCAACCGAAACCAAAGGGTTAAGAGTCAATACCCCATGTCTTTTGCAAAGGTTCAGCATTGCTTGGAGCTTTAGATATTTGGCACCATTCCTCAACTCGCTTCTCTCTCCTGTTAGAGACAATTGATCTAACTCCAGCATCCATACATCTTGCCTGGTCATGGAAGACACTGTAACATTCACAACAACTTGTACACGTTATAACTAAGATCGTAAATGAAACAAGACAAATTACGATTCGACTTAATCAAAGTTAGATTAATATTCAAATTGAATAGATTTGATTTAAGTTATTAACTAGCCAAAACAAGCTACTTGATATTCAATTTACAGATACAATCTAACTTGATGTATATGCCAATGGTGGGTATTTTAAGTAGTGAAGAAAATTGCTTACAAGGGATATTCAACCAAGGCATGAAACCCAACAGGGTGACGATGTGACCGGAGGCAGTGATGTTTTCAAGCACCCACTCGAGCAGCTCGGTTGTAAACTCCTTGAGGCCATCCATAACTATGACAGCATGTTTAGGAACGTTTACGGAGCCTGGGGAAGTAAGATCATTTCCCAGTTTTGATTCTTTCTTCTTTCCCCTACTAAGCCTCGGCAGCGACTCACAATATTTATGTTTACATCTAAATCTGAAAAAGTGAGCCATGTTTTTGTTTCAATGACCCAAAGGGAAAGGGATTTATGGGAAGGCCCTTGTTTTCCATATATAGCGATTTCAGGGATAGACGGAGGGGTAGGCGGGAATAATCTCATGAAATTTCAAATTTTCTTAAATTTTAAATTTTTTTATGTATTTTTTATTGATAATTTGTTTCTATTCCTAAAATTTTATTACCTCATTTCTCTCTAAAATTTTATAAATTTGTCCCCTCTAACATTAAATTATGTGTTCGTTCCTTGTCTGCAATGAAAGAACTGATGATTTTCCCATCCATTGTCTGCAATGAAAGAATAAAAACCATTGATAGAGCCGAGGAGTTTCATTGTTTCAACATAGAACAACATTTGACAATAACAAGGTTGCCTTCTACATGATATTTTGGAGCATGGAGAAATGGATTCCAGTCTCTAGAGTTCATCAAATTCTACTGAGAACACCACAAATCAATGAAATATCCTACTGAGTTTTCAATGCAAGCATCGAATTAAAATCACTAAGAATATGATAAAAAGCCAAAAACGAGCATGACTCGTTCAAATAAGTATTTTTTTAGACTAAAAGTCTAAATGAATTCTTATTTTTAAGGTAAAATATATAAATGGTCCCCTGACTATGAAGTGTTGCTTTGTTTAGTCTCTGACTATTAAAAGTTACTAAATAGTCCTCCGGTTATAGAATTTTATTTTTTAGTCCTCCAACTATTAGAAGTTACAAAAGGGTCACTCAACTATTCATATGTTTCAAACCCATCCTTTTTCGTTAAAAAATTGATGGTTGTATGAAGTGGACATTAACATGATGACTAAGAAATGATAAAATCATATTTTAATAATGTCTAATGGTTTAACACGCCATGTCAGCATTTTGTTATTGCACTAACGACTGTTAACGGCGAGTGACCGATTTATTATAAATCGATAATGTTAGTGACCAATTTGTTACTTTTAAAACTTCAATGAGGAAAAACATTTACTCAAATATTAATGATCATTTGTGTGGTTTACCCTTAATTACATTGATTATTATTGTTAAAAGTTCATAGTAAGTATAGTGATTGTACAATAAAATAAACACCAGTATTTTAGTGAAAAATCTTTAGGAAAAATTATGGGTAGAATCAAAAACAATTTCACCAATTTTCTAGCTCTAATCTCTTACATCGATTTATAAAGATAATTACTTCATAATAAATAAAACTTATTTAATAGGGGTTTATTAGAATTTCTAATTTTAATTAACATTAAAAGTATATATGTTTTTTCAAACTTTCAATTAGGTTTTATACTATCTTCAATTTTCTCTTAATTTAAATTTTGACTAATGTAAGTTAAATCAAATTCAGTCCAAGGTGGCGTTTGGTTCGTTGGAATGTTTCTGAGGGAATTAGAATCTGTGAAGGAATTGGAATCTAAAGGAATTGGAATCTGAATCTGAAATATGTTTGGTTGGAAGGAAATTGAATTGGAATCCAATTCCATATTCTGTTTGGTTAGCAGACATGTTAGATGAATTTGATTTCAGTAATGAAAATAACAGAATTGCCCTTCTTCTTTTTTTTTTTTTTGCTTAATTTTAGTTTGTTTTATAACTTACATGTATCAATATATTATAAAAATTTTAAAAATATTAAATTTTCATTTTATTGATTGATTATTCATTTCAATAAATTATAAAAATCATACTAATAAACATCATAAGTTAAAATCATCCAATTAGGGATGACCATGGGTCGGGTTTTTTGTCCACCCGACCCGACCCAAGAACAAGGGAACCTCCACCCGAGACCCGACCCAAAATAATAAAAAAATTATTTTTATTCAATAAAAAAGTGACTTAATTGAAAAAAATTATATATAGAGGGTTATTATTGTAATTATTCCTAAATATATAAGGTAAAATTATATATTTTTTCCGGTCGGGTCGGGTCGGGTATTTTTCACCCTAAACCCGAACCAAACCCGAATATCACACTTAAAAAAATCCGACTCAAACCCGAATTTTTTTTTAAAAAATCCGACCCCGATCCTGATTTTTTTTAAAAAACCCGACCCGACCCCAAAATTTTTATAAAAAATCCAATACAATCCCGAAATATTTTAAAAAAATCCGACTCGAATACCAAAAGATTGATGATGGTAGTATGGTCAAATTTCACATTTCCTCCTCCAAAGGATTTCAATTCCATCATGTTATGGATGAAATTTACTTTCCCTCCCTTGATGGAATTGGATTCCAATTCCCCCTAATTCCAAAGGATTCCAGCGAACCAAACGCCACCTAACAATCTTCACCTTCACGAGAATTTTGAACATACAAGGAGCTTGAGACAAAATCTCAAATTCGATGAAATACTTTAACTTAATAAAAAAATTATTTTTTCGTGTCAAAGAACAAATTCTCCACCTTGAAAACATATTATCCACATCTTCAATGAAACAACTTAAAAGAGTATTCTTCAACAACGATTGTCAATTGAATCTAAGTCATGTCAAAACTTGGATGTACGAGATAACTTACTCCTCACATCAATAATGTCACCATAAGTACCAAATTTACTCACATTTGTATCCCTAAAGTAATATTATACATAACATGATCTCGTTCACTGTTGAAAAATTCTATTCTCAGTCACCCATAATACTTTAATCTCACTAAATCTTTGTAGAGGTCTAGTTTCTTTTATCTCTATTCTTGGTAGTAGAATACTGTAAATAAACCATTCTTCCCTTAGCATTATTAAACTCTATGATGAACTAAAACTTCTTACTAGAACTAAATTTTATGCTTCTTAAATTCTGTCAACAATCAATCATCGCACTATAGAAATTGGATAAGTTCAATCCGTGGTCATTGGTCCTCAAAAAACAAAAGATCTATTAAACTTATCGAGTTGTTCCAAAGAATAAAAAACCCACAAAATCAAACTCTATTTTTGTTTAAGTATTTTATGCTTACGAAATCGAACTATTTTATGCTCCAACATTTTGTTATTCTCACGGTTGTTTTGTTTAATACAAATTTTTTTTCTTTGCTTGATTCAATCAGGACATGTTTAATAGTAACGTCATAATATAATATGAAGAAGAAAATAACAGTCTCACCTCCTATAACTGTTGAACTTTGCATAACATAAAATTTGACATTTTTTTTTGTCATTTCATCACAACAAAATAGCTCTCACAAATTTCATACTTCCACCAACCACAATCTAACAATAATGTTGTGATTCGACAATGAAATTTCATAGTTTAAGGTTGATATTATCAAGGTTGAGACAAACTATGTGAATGTTCTAATATCAATTTATTAAAAAATGACGACAAGTATAATGATCCCATATGTGGAAAATTCTTTCGGAAAAAAAATAGAAAAAAATAAGAGAGTTTTCAAATATTTTTTAACCCTATTCTCTAGAAGAGAGTTACTTGATTAAAAACATATTTAATATGGGTCTATTAAAACTAGAATTTTAACTTTTAATCAACATTGAAAGTATTTAATAGGGATCTATTAAAACTAGAATTTTAACTTTTTAATCCACATTGAAAGATATACTTCATATTTTAAGTTTTCTACTTTTTCTTAATTTAAAGATTCATTAATATAAATTACAATCAAATTTTGATCAAACCACTACCTTTTGAGAGTATTCTTCAACAACGCAGCCGCATGGTACACGAAGCTTTGCATGGACGAGCTGGCGTTAATTCCATGGTGCTGCAGCATTCTTTGGAATGTAAGCAGCCTATCACTTGGTCTCCACCACCAAAGGCGGTGGAGATTGAATAACCTTACCCACATAGAGCTGATTTGAAACAGTTACTGCTAATCTGCTATTTTCTTTATTATTAAAAAAACACTATTTAAACTTCTTACTAGAAAACTTTATACCATATAAAAGCTATTCATATTTGCTTCCTCAACAAACTTAACATCTTCCTTGCAAGAAGTAAAAAATAAACCAGTTGGTATTTTAGCCATCATTTATCCCAAAACCTAAAACTTTTTCCCCCAACATACGGAAGGGTGCAAAAAGATATGATCGACTTCATGTACGCCAGGTGTTTTTCCTTTGAGATGATCAAGCAAAAAGGCACAGAGATTGTTCATCGCTAGGACGAAGGGTGAGGCTTTTGCAAGGAGATGATCATGTTCTTTTCTTCATTTTACCTGCAGGTTGTGAAGCCAGAGGAGCCATAAATTTCATGCCTAGTCGGCCTTGCATCCTTTTGGCACATCTCCTTGCTTCGGTTCTTCTTTGATGCATCAAAGACCTGTTGATGGTTCTTTGCTTAATAATCCGCTTCTCTTTGAAATGAGAACGCAGAGCACATACTGAAAAAGTCAACTGTCTCATTGTCATGTTATCGAAGGAAAGCATATTAGGTGACTTAAAATGAACCGATTACTTTACCTGAAGCATCTGTCTGACACTTATCTGGACATTGTGATCTGAATGGCATCCAAGGGAAACTGCTATCACTTGTAGCTTTGTCAATACTGCCTCGATTGCTATTGTTTTCCCCAAGACTAGACACAGTAGATATAGATTTATCAAAGTTATCAGGACAATTACTTGACCCTGGTGGTAAAGAGGCTTCATTAATCAGACTATCATCTCTGAAATCAACAGACTTTGCTGCATGAAACTCTGGTTCACTGACAAGCGGTCCAGAAATCCCCTTGGAAGTAACACTTGGTTCATCAAGCTCAAGAGTTCCAGACTCATTGGCATTGCCATCAGTATTATTTCCTACCAGGACATTGGAGGCACATACTATGTTATCAAGGACAGACGTTGGTGAAGGATCGGAAATACCACGGTCTGCACCGGGATTTTGGACTTCTATTGAAGTTGAAAACCAAGGTATACCCTCCCTAGCATAGAACAAAATGTAAGCTTCCTGAGAAAGCACTTCTTCTTCTTCAACACAAATAACCTGAAAAAAATAATCTACAATTACTCACCATTCATTCCAGGTCCATCGAAACGCTGGTATGTAGTCACATAGAGAATTTGAAATTCCTCAAAACTATAACCTAATAATGGTGTTTAAATTCGACACATAAAAGGGGAAATTTTATAATCAATGAACTTACTACATTCAAAGTGCTTGAAGGACAAGCAAAATTTTAAAACGTTTCGGTCATAGTAATTTTATACTTGATTAATACACGTGACATTTATACTTTAAAAAATTGAAATGTAAGTTTTATCCAAAACAAATTTGTGAGCTCTTACTCTTGAATCATTGAAATTATGCCACGTATCCGGAGAGGACCGAATGTAGCAAAGATAATGCCCAGAATTAGGTCTGAATCCAGAATGCTTCACAACTGCATAGAGTTGATACTTCAGTTCCTCCTATCACGAAAGTAGCATAATCGTAAAACTTTAGCAGATTTGTACCATATAAGCAAATAAAAGCTAGTAGTACAGCTAATAAAACATCAATTTTCTATAAATGCAAGTAGTTCAGCTAATCAAACATCAGTTTTTCTCTTGCCTAAACCACCCCAAAGAATATTTAAACATTCAAGTATTACTATTGGATATGTTAAAAGATATTACAAGTGATGGTAAAATAATGCTCTACTCACATTACTCGTCTCATTGACACCAGTGTAAGGCTGCAAATCCAATCCTAATGGGAAAACAACATGTTTTTCAATCTTCTCAACATAGGCTCCTTTAGTCTTAAATCTCTTCAAGTGAAATGTTGCAACTAAAGGAGCCTGATCCAACATGAGCTGTTTTTCTATCGACACCTTGTGCTTACAATTCTCACAATTAAACTTTGCAACTGGATCATCTATCTTTTCCACCTTGGTGAAAGACTCTAAGGCACTTGGAAGGGTGTCAGCATCTTCAATCTCCAAACTCAAATCATTAAAAGGTTCATAACTGCAAGAAATGTGTCCACAATTGCAACAGCGTAGCTGAAACCATCAAAGTATAGTCAATAAAAGACAGGATTTCTGACCCTATAGGGTAAAAGAGAACACTTCTTTAGAAAGGGCTAATCAAGGTCAAGGGTCCATTTATTTCATGGAAAATAGGTTCATTTTCCAGAAAATGAAAAGGAAATCCTGTTGACCAGTAAAATGAATTACATTGACCAATCTATTTTCCGCCAATCAACTACTGGAAAATGAGTAAAATGTTTTCTGGAAAACAAATTACAGTAAAACAATCAGACACCAAATTACATTGGCCTTACTCTGCTAACTAGTCGACCACCAAAAACCTTCTTTACTAGGCAAAAATCTGTAGAAGACAAACAATCATACAGCAGCTTTAAGTCCGAGCAACAGAATTCAAGCTTATTTAACAAGCCCTGAAAGAACTCATGAGCATCTTCCTGTTGATTACTTTCGAAACTAGGTGAGATACCTGGATTTAATGTGTCAATAATCAAAATTAAGAAAGAACTCTCTTTTTCTTAAGACTTGCAAGTCACTTCTCTGTACTTCTAGTGAACCTTTCCAAAGAAAAAAAAAAAGCCTAACAAAGTAGTGTTGAATGCTCTAAAGAAAGCAATGCTGGAGCAGAACATATCAGTTTATCAACATCTAAAACAACAATTAATAACCTATCTACATTAAACAAGCTAATAATAAATAGAAAACAAAGGATACAGTTCAAATTTTCAATAATTTTGTAAGGTGAAACAACTCCTCCAGACGAACTCAACGAATGCTCAATGTGATCATGGATAGCGCGAAGTAAACTAAAGCTATTAATATCACCTGAAAAGTCCCAACAAAACTAAATGGTTAGAAATCCCAAAGGGAGAAACAATAAAAAGGTTAGAGCAAAGAATCTTACCATCACAAAGCTTCTTATGAACGTTCAAAGATCGAAGACCCAAAACAAAAGGAACAGTATGAGTAACACATTGCAAAATGGCATTGATAAAACAAGTGTTCCCCAAATTTTCCAGCCCTGCACCCTACAAAATCCAATACCCAAAATTCGAATTATCCAATTACCAGTCGTTCATACAAATAAACTCTACAAACATTAAATGAAATAACTAACCACCCCGGTTGGTTCATTTTCAATTCTAAAAGCTTCTTTAGGAGGAGCCCAGGGAGTTGGACGCCATGGCGTCCATGCAGAATGTTCATTTTCTAGGCTAATACTGCTAGGACATTCCCAAGGGTCCTCTTTCTTTTTTTGACAGTTCACGGGTTTCTTAGATTTGTAAGGGACCAAAGCTAGAAGCTGAGACGGTTCGAATTCAGTAGAGGAACACGAAGGGGCCTGATAAATAAATGAAAACACGCCGTCAGCCGATTCGGCGGCCTCGGGAAAAAAAGGAGTCGTTACAGCTTCTTCGTCGAGGAAACGACCCAACAGGGTGTCAAGATCAGTAGAATCAACCGCCATTGGAGAAACAGATGAAGACCCAGATAAAGAATCGGCCTGTGGGATCCCATCAAGACCTTCTCCAGGAAGGAGAGGTTTTGAAGGAGAGGGATCATCTGAGCTTTGGGTTTTAGTAGCATACGCTTGGGTTTCCATTGAAATATGGTAATCTAAGCTTGCTGAGGGCTTTGACGGGAGCAGATTGAGAATTTTAATGAATGTCCGAATGGAATCCCTGATCTTGTTGGAATTATTAAGATAAAACTTGAAGGAATGATTAAGAGGAGAAGAATTGAGAAAATGGGATTCCTTGTACAGCCATTTTGAAACGGGAGGGAAAACTAAGCCGCCATTTATTTGGCTTTCTCCGCCAGATTGATTACTGTAGAAGGTGCATCAAAAGTTTGACTTTTGATTTTTGGTCAAACCCCTTTTCTTTCCCTTGGACTACTCTCCTTTTAAACGTTTTAGGGTAAACTACTTATTTAGTCACCCACTTATTACTTAATTTCTATTTTGATCACTCAACTATTATCTTTTTTAAAAATCATATCTAACATTGTATTTTGATTCCATTCTAGTTATTCATTATTAAATAATGATGATGTTGAAATGACATTTTTATTATTTTTTAATCATTAATGGAAACAAATTGATCTCGTCAATCGTTGACTATTTACTCCATTTGATTTGTACGAAGTGTTGTAGTCGATAAGAGAACATCTTTTAGTCTATCGTTTTTTAGGAGAGAAGGAAATAACAAATATTGATAGTTAGAAAAAGAAAAAGAAATGTCTCTTCTTTTTACTTCTCTTGGATATAAATACTCTGACCGTAAGATAGTTGGTGTTAATCTGGAGTCATCATGCCTGCTAGTAGGCTGATGAGCTGTGTAGATACGGCTAAGCTATCAGACATCAAATCTGGTTTCAAAAGTTATATAAAAAGCAATATAGTGTGAACTTCGAATGGTAATCCATCATATGATAACTTTGGAGTTAACATGACGTCTCTAAAGAATTTTTAGAGGTTCCATTAAAAAAGTATAGTTCTCTTTAAGTTTTTGTTGGTAAAGATGTGATATTCTCTTATTTGTCCTATTTAGAAATATAACTAATCCTAAGATGAACCAACGAGGGCTTCAATAAATCTAATACCACCACCAATTTCATAAATTTTCCTCGTTGACTCGTCTTAATAATATAATCAATTTTTATGACGATTCTAATAACCTTGTTATGGTTCTAAACAAACTATTTATGTAATAACAATAAGGTAAACTCGAAATTTGTACCTACATCATTACCTGATACGAGTGATAATTATTGGTAGAAAATTTATGTTTTGATAGTTTTACTATTAGATAGAAGTAAATGATCTTCCATGACCCATTGACGCTCGTGTTAAAATTCTCACACATCTCTCACTACTAGAAACCTCGACCATAAAAAAAAAATCATTGTCTAAGTGATCAAGTTGAAGAAAGACATTCGACTGCTATAGTGCCTTATGATGAGCCATTGTTTCAAACACTTATCGATCAAGTTGAAGAGAGACAGACATTCGACTGCCATAGTGCCTTATGATGAGCCATCGTTTCAAACACTTATCGATCAATCCATGGAACCTATGACAAAATTTAATAACTAACACTATTTTCCCCCTCCTAATAAATACACCGTTATTTTCTACTACTATTTTATTATCGATTAACATATTTTCAATCATCATCTTTTAATGTTATTATCGTTTAGTAAATTCAGAAATTTTCAACTTGATGTCTAAAATTTTAATACTAACGAAGTGGATATGTAAACTTTCTCGCTGTACTCTTTGTAATGTTTTAACTTTTGATAAAATTCACATATATTTTATATATAATATTACTTAGATTAACTAGAAGAATATGCCACTCTTTATCATTGAGACTAATTATAAATTTATATTTATATCAAATTTAAGAGGGATGATGTTTATCTTCTACTATTAGTCATCTAAAGACAAATGATAAAGAAAATCAGACATCACCAACAGGGTTGATTCAAGTGGTAAGCAACTTGATATTACTTAAGCACAGTCTAAGTTCGAGCCGTTGTATATGCAGAAAATTTATGCTCGGAGACTCACCCATCAAAGCCAGTTGTGCGACGTGGGTCGGTCAGAATTAGTCAAGGCGAAGCATTAGAACCGGGAGGGCAATAAAAAAAAAGAAAATCAGACATCAACTTATTATTTTGTAATTTTTATAACATAATAGGAAAAAAAGATATTTATAAATAATTAAAAATCATTAGCGTAATTTACCCTCTAAAAAATAGGAGTAAGCAAAACTCATCTCGACTCGAAAAATCGATTTTCTTTCAATTTCGAGTTATTCGAGTCAACTCGAATTATAAATTCAGTTTTCGAGTTCTAGTCGATTTGAAATTTTGAAATTTCGTGTTACTCAAAAAACCGAAAATTTGACTAAGTATTTTTGACAGTTTTATGATTTAGTCCCCGATTTCATTATTTCTTCAATTCCTCCTTCATTTTAAGTCCATTGTTTACCAAATTTTAACCACATGCTCCTAAACCATAGTAGAATACATGTTTACTTTCAATTTCTCTTTTTGATAATACTTTTTTATTTTTCAATTTAGTCTTTCTATTTTTCATAATCTTCTTATTTCTTCAATTCATCATTTATTTTAAGTCTGTTTTTACTAAATTTGAGTCACATGCTCCTTAACCATAGTAGAATACATATGTACTTCCAATTCCTCTTTTTGATAACAATTTTTTATTTTTCAATTTAGTCATTCATTTTTTCATAATTTCCTTATTTCTTCAATTCGTCATTTATTTTAAATCATTTTTTACCAAATTTGAGCCATATGCTCCTAAATCATAATAGAATACATGTGCACATTCAATTCCTCTTTTTGATAATAATTTTTTATTTTTCCATTTAATCCTTGTATTTTTCATAATCTCCTTATTCATTCAATTTGTCATTTATTTTAAGTTTTTTTTACCAAATTTAAACCACATGCTCATATACTACAATAGAATACCTATGTAACTTCAATTGTTATTTTTTTTTACTAAAGATGCACTCTTTTTTATTTAGTCCCTTAACTTTGCATTTTACTCACTTTGGTCTTTTGACTACAATTGTTTACAAATTCTTTCTTCACATCAATTCCTTGACTCATTTATACTCTCATCAATATTTTACCCTCAAAATACTTTTTTTAAAATATAATATTATGAATATCTTTCATAATTTTATATTTTATTTAATATATTAAATAACATTATAATATGAAAGAATAATATATATATATATATATTATTGTTAGATAAAATTAGAAAATTGAAACAAATCATTGTCATAATACTATAAATAATTATAATAAAATTAGTATAGAAACTCGAATAATTTAACTCGAATTTCTTAAACTTAGATAAAAAATTTCAAATTAAATTCGAATTATAAAATACGAGTAATCAAATAATTCAAAAAATTTTAACTACTCGAACGCTCACCCCTACTAAATAACACTTTGGACCCGAAGGCTTTTTTTGTTCCCTTGTCCGAACCCAAATTATTCCAACCATTATAAACCCTAAGACCACGTACTCCATGTTTGTCCGATGGTTTATTTTCTCTCCGAAGCCGAAATCTTCTCTTCTCCTCTCGCAGTGAGCATTCAAAGGAGGTGTTTACTTACTAGGCGATCACCATGAAGGAACATGAACAATCAGTCTCAAAATCAAGAACAAAGAAGTCAAAGAAGAGGAGCAGAGAGGAGGATATCCACGAGCCAATTGAACCAGTTAAACATAGCCCTGGAACAAAACATGAGAATTTGCAAGTAAAAATCCAACTTTATCAAGAGCAGACAAACAATATTTCACCTTTACTTGCCCTGCTGCTGCTCAAGTTTGCAGGTATTCACTTGGCGTTCTTGATAAGGAAGCCTGGTCAAAATTATTCCTATTGCTACTAATAAGGTAACATTTTCTGTGAATTGAAGTAAAACAGATTATTCCTATTGTTATTGCTTCATGTTCTTGCCCTTTCTGTTTTGTTTTTATGTGATGATGATTGGAGATAGAAACTTGAATTGATTTACGAACTATTGAACTTTTAGTTATATAATGGAGGTCATTGTGGTGAGCTAGCTTGTAGCTAATTTGTTTATCAATTCTTTAATTGTTGAATGGGGAAAAGTGGTGTGGGGAAGGAAGGGAAATCTTGTTAATGTTGCTATTGAATGAGTGGTTTCTTGTGGTTTTAGTTAATATGTTGGCTTGTTCGATTTAATTGTAGATATTTAGGATGGAACCAAGAGTTAGAACCTCGGAAAATGCTAATGAAGATGCTTCAGCTTCTGCAAAGAGTGAACTTACTACCGATAAAAAGGACATGCTCGACAAGCTGGGAGAACTTACTGCACTTTATGGAACAAAGAAGGATAGAAAGAAGGTTTGTCACTTTCTTGCCTCTAAGCTCTTTCATTGGAATTGGGGTGTTGCCTGTAGTTACAGATTCATGTATTTTTTATTGGCTCTTCTGATCTTTCTCTGCTCAAGCGATAATGCAATTGACGTTTGTACTTTTGGTTAATTTATAGGGTTAAATACACATTACTATTTGAACTTCCACTTCTTTACATCTGTAGTTATAGAATAAAAATTAGAAAGTACTCAAAGTTAATTGTAACACGCAATTTAGCCTTCTCGCTAACACCTAGTCCAAGGATGGCATGCATTGAACTTACGGTTAATATCCGAATGTCATCTTAGAGCAGTAAAAGCAGGAGTCTCAGTCCATCAAGCCCTATGAAACAACAGTCAATGTTTTCTATCAGTAGGACTATACGAGAATACATTCCAGAAGTTCTCCAAATGCCTTTTAGCAAGTGGACAGTTAGAGCAGCTCTTATCGGCCATAACTCAATGTTCAAAGTCCTCCATTTTTTTATTTTTAATTTCCTTTTCTATTTCTTTAATTTCAAAAATAAAAATCAAAATTTTTTTATATTGCTTTGTGACTTTCGTTTCATATCTGATGATTTTTCTGGTTGCGTTTGTTATGTCATCCATGGAGGACCTTATTGTGATATTTTATTATACAATACCAGTATGGCAAAAATTTATTTATTTAGTACAATTA